TAAGATTAATATACATCTAGGGTGTAGTAAAAATATACAACTTTATTAATTAACAACTAAAAATAAGACATCTTACTTGTAAATGCTTCTTCTGCCATAGTGCCAGGTATTTTTCGCCGACTGCGAGTAGAGTCTTGTGCGTGTGCGCTAACTGCGCATACGCATCACGCATGCGGGTACGAAAGCAAGCGAGTGTTGCATCCCGCTCGCTCACGACACTGCAGCGCTCATCGTAAGCTCGCAACAAAGCTTTGTAACTTTTAGAAAGTTCTTCGTATCTATAATAACCACTATAGTTTAGCTCAGTGCCATAGTGGATTAGTGCCGGCCGCGGCCCGCAATCGTTGTTGTTAAGTAATTTTCACAAGGGTCGGTCATGGGATAAGTGACCAAAAAATGATTATCTCGAGCTCCTCTCTTCGGAAGGTACGTTAAGCTCTTGGTCCAGGCCGCATTTGCAGTCGTTAATGTCCTCCAATCCGCATTCTGCCAGCGTAGGGGGTCATGGCCCATCCTCCTTAACTATACATAAGAAAGTCCTGAGCTGTCGGGATGTAAATGTAAAGGGGCTGATGATGATGACGATGACAGAGTTTACACATTTGTCCATTAAGGTTAGATGAAGACCTTGAGCTCTAATGATTTTCTTTTATTTATTATTGTTACACAAAAAGCTAGGATGGTAAGTAGGTAGGCTGTGTTACATTACAATAATGTAGTCCATATAAACAGATAACAATAAAACAGTCGTTATCAATTACATAAGCATATAATCCAGTTAATTTTACCATAGCATATTAAAACAAAACACAATTAATACACATAAAATAAAATTCCGTCTTTTTTGTTGCCGGGATGGTAAGGGTGGTTTAAAAATTTGCTACAGGCCCCGCTCTGGCTTAATTCGGCACTGAGTAGGTATTAATTATAAATCAAATTCATATCTTACTGATATTGTAGACAGACAATGCTCATTGTGGACCATGATTCTGCCAAATCAACTTGACCTCTAGACGTTTTTGATGACTCTAAAATCATGAAATAAGTATATAATTTTAATAGGTGTATACCTAATTCACGTCCAGGAGTTTTTGGTATTGGCAGACTTTCTCTATGCAGAATCAAAGTCCTAATCCTTTAGAAGAATATCGAACTCTGCTCAACAGTTCATTGAATTAATATAAACGGTATATTAGCACGCGTCGCTTACCCAGCAGAACAACGACGTAATGGCAAAAATCATTAAGAAATCTAATAGGTTGACAAAGTACTAGCCCACTGCTAGTACTTTGCCTCCTATTAGTCTATCTAACGATTACCTAAATGACAAAATCGTGTTTCTTATTATAATGAAAAGAATGTACTTAAACGTAATACAAAATGCAGTAGGTTAGTATTCCATTTATGGATTTGTTAATGGATCATAAACCAAGAATGTATAGTTACATTTTTGTATTAAGGGAATCTACACAACAATTCTCAAGACCCGAGAGACAAAAAAGGCCAATCGAATCGAAAGGCAGAGCTTCAAAGATGTCACACATTCAAACTAGCGTTTAACGTCAGATGATACTTTTTTCTGTCCTTGTCACAATATAGTGACTACTACTACTTCTCCATAATTTACGAACCCGTATTGTTACTTCTAAATTTTTTCTCATAAGACATATCACTGGACCACAGTTCGTCGTGGGAATGAGCATGTGTCGCCTGGCAACGCAGCAGACGGGATTCATATTCTACCGTTTTAGCTAGACTCTGCTCCAGTCCATCCAATAGCTTACGAGCATTCTGTAGACCACTGATGAAGTTTTTCTGGTCAACGGGATTTGACTAAAATGGTAGGTAGCACGTGAAAAACATCAGCTAACTTTAGTATTCGTGTATTTAAGCAAATATACGTAGAAATTTTTCAAACAAAATAATTACTATTCTATTAGATTAATTAATATTATATGAGAACTAGACAAGTCTTTTCTACCTATCTATATGTATTATAAAACAAAGTCGTTTTCTGCTGCCAGCACGCTAAGATCTTTTAAATATACTACAGATTTTAATGTGCTTTTATCAATATACAGAGTGATTCAATAGAAAGTTTCTTTATTTATAATACAGGACCACGCGGCCCAACTCGCTGGCAGAAAGCTAGATAATTAGTATAGTCACAATCGATATCTACGTTACTTACAGTAAATTTATTAAGTTTGGCATAATCTATCTTGGTGGTTGGTGATGATTTTATGGTCGGGGCTTGGTGGTAGTTTAAATTGTTATTGAAATTATTGAAATACATCGGTATTTGAATCTTGAGCCAAGTATTGTTTGACAATTTTAAATAGTCGTGACAGATCGTGACTTTTCCATATTACGTGAGTTTTGTCAAATTTGGTGTTATCGGCAAAGAGAATATAAACACTTAAGTGTCCGTAAGTCAAGCAGCAAGCAACTTTGATTTATAGTTAATTATTGATCTATTCAGTCCGACAGTTACTATTTAGGGATAACTAGAATAGCCAGGTTTCTTAATTTGAGATAAACGAGATTTTTTAGATAGAGGTGATTGACATTGTGGCGCCGCTCGGCTGCGAGTCCAGCAGTGCTACCAGTATTTGTTCTAAACTACTATAGCATTTTCTAGCTATTTTCTTAAAGATCAATTCTGTTGAGCGTGAATACATAAGACGTCGACATCCTGCGAATATTTACCAAAGGTAGGATAAGAAATGGAATAAATTATGCAAGGGCCCTTAATACCAGTGTTTTAATGCTCTGCCTTCAATCTAATAATATACTCTCTTATTATTTTTTCATGAAATGCTGTCATAACGTGATGAAACACAAATCAAAACATTTTTTTTTCATCACAGAGCAGTAAACCGTACGTACATACATATGGTGGTTCAGGCAGTTCAGGCAGTTCAGGCAATTATTTAAATATTTTTTATTTAAATCATTACGTGCTCACTTTATAAGGAAATAAAAAAACCTTTGTCTTGTCAGATGATTTATTCAACTACAACAAAAAGCATAACTTTTAAAACTAAATCAGTCTAAAAATATTCTCCTGCAATATCACTACTATTATTCAAATATTTCATCTAAAAAGGATAAAAACTATTTAACTACATTTCGTGTATTGATTGCTTAATGCAAAAAAATAAAAATAATAAAATGGGATCATAATCACATCACTTTGTACATCATCATTTTTCATAATTAAATTAGTACATTCCAAATTACACCTTTTATAATTACGGTATGATTTATATGCCAGTACAAATTATGTTGAATCGCAAGCTAATGTACAAATATGTTGAGAATGATTTCGATTATAATATAAAATTTGACGTAGTTTGGAAACAAAACCAATATTCCAAAGATCGAATCACGGATGAGACATTTTGCCAAGTCGAGGTTGTTCCAAAATTAAAAATAGTAAGGCACAGTTAAAAATTACTGAACCATCATAGAACATTTACGTAACCGATAAACTATTTCCGACTCATTATAAAACGAGGATTAAAGTTAGTTTTAGGTCGGTTAATGGCTTAAAGCTGGTTATTTTATTCAAGTATAAAGTAGATAACACGCCTTATATTACTAAATGGCCACAATTATAGTTAATTTTATAAAAACCGCGATTTCAGACTTCATTTAATTAGATGGCTTTACACCTAGTATAATGTCTTTTCCGTTTGTAGTTGTAAACTGGTATTGAAACACAATCCTCTTGAAATCAGTAAAACTACGTGTTGCGAGTTCTACGACGATCGAAAAAACAATTCAATAGCTCTATAACCTATTCAATGAAAATGGGCTTACAATTTTTTGCAAACCCTTTGGCATCAAGAATTTACTCCCTTTGCATCAAGAATTACATTTGACACTTGACATTTGCCGTTACAAAACAAAATTTTATTTGCATGTGATTAATTCTAGCACTGTTGAACTGTTAGAATCATATACATTACAAGGTACGGTGAATAATTCACGTTTTCATATTACAAAATTTAAAAAAAATCAATGACACCAATACATCCATTATTACAATAACGTTAAGATTTAAATGTAAATATATCTGGAAGACATTATTTAGCTTGCAATAGAAGCTAGTTCAAACAAGACCCCTTTTTGGGTATGGGTTAAAATAAAAGACACTTTAAAGAGTCCGAGTTTGCATAACAGATCGAGTTGATTTAGGGTTAAGTATCTTAATATGCCTTTATAACTGGTGTGGACAAATTGTTATAGTAAAACACATAAAACATGTGTTTTGCTCAATGATATACTTGCACATATTACATTTAGAAAAGACTAAACCCCCAATCTTGGCAAAACAGTATGATCAAATAGCACTTTCGTTGAGTGTTAAAGAGAACGGCATTTTGTTCATTGTATTTTAATACCATGAGGTTATTAAAACAAGACTAATTATAAAGATATATGTGTGCATTAAAATGACAAATTAATTATGTATAATTTCAACAGTGGTATATACTATACAGTTCTGATGCTTATTTTGCCAACACACTATTATGTTGCTTTACTTAAAGATCTGCTGTGTATATGGCCTGGGTAAAGGGAGGACCTTAATGGAGTCCCAAACTTGGATTGGATCCGGAGCTTTCCTTGCGGGATTCCAGACTCTTCACCCCCAAATGACGGTTTAAAAAAAAAGATTTTTATTTAGTCCGTCAGTCAGATAATAGAAAAATATAAGATATACAATTATTTTTTTAACCAATTATTCAAGAAATTACTGAGATAAAAGGCATTAAATTTGAGGAGTGGGGGCTCGCTACGTCACAGAAAATGTGCAAAGAGCGTGACGTTTTACAAATGTATCGCCGTAATTTATTGATTCAATAAACACGTGTCAATCACGCACGTGTTCAATTTTATTCTATAATCTACCCGACGAACAGACAAAAAAATGACATCTTCCCTATTCTGATCTAATATAAATTTTAGCAAATAAAATGTTACAGGTAATTCAAGCGTCAAATTTAAGGTTACCTTAATATTTTAATTATTGCACATTTTTGAAAAGGCTGAGAACTGTAATTTTGTAAAATTTTCCAAATAAAAAAGTATAGTTATAACAAATAAAATTTGATACAAAACGGATGAATTATTCAACATTTATAATCAATATAATAACAGTATTGCATTTCATAACAAACTAATTGTTTGAAAATTGATAATATTTTTAATAACAAACATCTCAATGATAAATGTCTAAATAAAAAAAATTGAACTCCTTGTTGTTCACAGACTACAAAAGTAGTCCACTTTTGTAGTCTGTGAGTTATAAGTATATAAGCTGTAACAGGCAACATAAAGAGTACATAAATGCAAAATGCATTATCATTTTGTAACTAATCAACTATGAAAATAAGTAATTGATAAACTTTCTAGTGCAGTAACTCTTTGGTTTCTAAACTTTTACTAGGCGTTTGCTTGTTGACCTTTACCACTCTTCCCGCTTCACCGCATAGCACGTCTAGGCAGATCTTTTGAGTAACGTCAGCAACGACATCGCGTCCATCTGTCCACACTAGTCGCTTTTATAACTTCCGTTACATTATGAACAGTCGATTATTTTAATTTAACCATATATAGTATTAAATGTAGTTTTATCAACTTTCATATATTTTTGTTTAAAATATAAACTCGCAATGTTTAAGGAAAAGTTAATTCGAGTAAAAATACAATCAATATTTCTATACTGACAGTACCAGTTCATGTCTATGATGTAATTTAGTTATGGTCTTCATTGGTTAACTCGAAGCAAACGGCTAGTATCAGATTGCGTATTTTCTTTGAATTCATTAATCTACTTAATCATTTGACAACAAAAATAGTAAAAATTTTAAAACACAACAATCTTAAAGAATATTGGTTCGCGTAAACATAGTTTCAGCTGCATATATATTGAGCGTTTAGAAATTTTCACTTAAGATATGAAATACCCATTGAGATCCACAACCAACTGAAGATTACTAAATCTCTGTAGTGTTTTCCAATTATTTTCTCTCAATTTATAAAATTAATGTAAACATTAAAAGTACTTATTTATATGAGATTTGTATTTAACTATTATAAAGCGTTATTTTAGGATTTAAATTCTACTTTTTAGCAATTTTACATACTGTATAAAAGTGTTTCGTTTTTTTTTTATTTTATTTTTTTACTATTTTACAAAATTTAGTAAACTGCAGATGATTGTGACTTACGCTATCGCAAACAATAGTGTTTGGAGTCAGTCGTCAAATTGTTCAAAGTGAATTTGTGATATTTTGGAAAAGCCTTTTTCCCCACCACGTTTCCAAGTCGAAAGGCTTGAAGTCCCGCAGAATTGGACTGGGCGTCTCATCCTGATAGTAGAGGTTTGATGGTGGAGCTGGAGAGGAACTGCCGGACTCTGACGCTGTAACACAATGAAAAGATATAAAGAATGGTAGTTTTTTATGAATGTATTTTAAGAACATAGTAAACCAAAATATTTATATTATGTAAACCAAAATTTAGTAAACCAAAATATTTATATTATGGTTTACCACATTAATTACAAAAGCAATGAAGGTGGTAATTCATTTGTAATGAATGTGGTTACAAATTAATTTATGTATAAATATGTTTTCATGTAAACAACTACTCTGTTAACCAGCACTTTGATTTCTTACATTTTAGTTTCAATTCTAATGGTCGCCTAGTAGCCTAAGTTTGACCAACAATTTTGGTTCAACATTATTTAGGTTCTCTTTGACTTTTATTTACTTAGTAGATAACATGATGAAGGTTTCAAGATGTTGATTTCAAATTATTTATTAAGTGCTGTGGAAAATTTCAGAGAGGACTATCTTTTGGGTTTATTACTGGTTTGCTATGGCAGCAGGATGACAGTGTTTCCACTGATTGCTGCAGACTTTAGAATCTAATGTCATATAAACCTTTAGATAATAATATATGGGGAGCAGTACTGTTGCGGCACTGTGATGCATATACATAAAGTCAGCAGAATATGTGTGTATTCTTTGAAAATAACACCATGTTTATAACCACTTTCTTGTAAATGAACTTTTTCGTTAATTCATATACTTGTTAAACTACTTACCAATTGTACTAGTAGGAGTCGTTGGTTCACTTTCACCATAGGCTGTTTGTGTCCAGGCTGTAAGACCAATGATATTTATTTAGAAAAGAAGCGCCGTGCCAACATGTTGGTGAATTTTTGAGCCAAGAGATCAAATAAGACTTCATTTTTTATGTTCTTAAACAGATGTTATAACTTTTAAGTTTTTGTATCTGTCTTAGAACAGAATTAAAACTGAGGAATTTTTTCCCTTGGACACAAATGACTAGCTATTTTATTATTTCCAAAAACAAAGCTTTTCTTAATTCTTCAGATTTCTTCAGATGTTGCATAGTTTAGTGGCACATAGGCCACAATGACAGGTCTATTTCTTATCCCATTAATATTATAAATTAGACTAGACATCCGCATTACAACCAAACAATCAGCTAGTTGGACAAAATCAAATTTATACCAAAGAATTGTTGACCATTATTATTATTAACCATTATTTATTTTCACAAAGAATAGAATAATGACTTTAAATAGCAACCGGTATGAGACAACTTTATACAATACAGATTTCTATCACATTTTCATTTGAATACCAATAGGCTGGTTATGATGTTTATACAAAGTATACTTATTACCAGTGCCAATAATATAAAACCTTTTAACTTTGAAAAGTATTAAAAAATCTACAACAAATGTAACTGTTCTCTGTCTGTCTGTTTGTCACCAGGCTGTATCCCATCAACTGTGATATATTAGACAGTTGAAATTTTCACAGTTTTGTTTTTGTTATAGTTATAACAACAAATACTAACAACAGACTAAAATAAGTATTTAAGGCAGTCTCTCATATAATAAACATTAGTCTTTTGTTTTTTATACACAATGCTTTGAAACTTTCATTTGGCTGGTTTTATGTTCTTAGAACTCAATAACACTTGTTGTCAAAGTAAATGTTAACTCTAATCTCTTAACACTTATTTTATGTCAAACCCAAAAATATTGTCCAACCTCTATTATATGAGATACACTATTGATTACACTTAGTAAGATAACAATCTCTTTACTTACTTTCACTTATGTATCTAATGATTTCCTCATGCTGCGGTGTGATCACATGGTGCTGTATTCTTTGATGCACTGTCTTTTTGCCATTGGAATGAAATACTGGTTTGGGCATGCTAAAAATGAAATTTAATTTGATTAAAAATCAATAAGTATGAATTTTTATTAGTAAGTAATTAATATTTGTCTTAAGATATAATGCTTACAGTTATGAAAAGAATATGTGACAGAAAAATTTTAGTCTGTAAGCGTTTATATAAACAAGATGCATTCCGGTAGAGAGGTTATGTAAAAACACTGATGAAATTAATTAGAAATTCCGCATTGCATCATGTAACCACATTACTACATACTTGATGATTTCTCCATTATCGGACTCTGAAGATTTCCTGTTATGATCTTTGCGGTTATCCAATCTTTCTAAATTCTGTGAGAGGCCTGAAAGAAAAATTTTCAATAATTTCGTGCTTGCTGATACGATAATGAAAAATACATAAATCAGATAAGTATCATACATAGATGCACAATTTACCTCTTCGGGTTTTGGCTACTATTTTGCTAGGGCCTTTTGAGACAGTATACATTTTATAATTTCGCACAGAAATTAAAAAAATAAACGTAAAAGTCACACTTGTATTACGAGACCGACTTGAAACTGAGCGTTGCCAGATATAAAAATAATAACTACCATTATGGTAGAATTGGTGAATTTCGAAGTAAGAGGTTTAACGTTCAGAACCTACTACCGTATGTATGCAGTGGCAGATCTTTAAAAGCATTAACAATCAGGATCAGGAGAGTAATATAAAAGCAGAATCATAATAAATGCATAAGTTCCATTGAGTAACGGAATTTAAATTGCGTACAACATTTAATTTTGTAAAATTGGTTAGATAACAAAATAAATGGTTTCTTTGTATTTTTTATTTTCGCTTAGATTACAATTTCAATGTTCTCATTTCATATTGATTGGTGGGTGAAAATGTCTACTGAAATGATAGAAACACATCGAAATTAAATTTTTATTTACAATACGGGTCGTTTCGGTGTTAAATTCTTTCTTAATGGTGGCTTCCTAAACCAGTCTGAAATTCCAAACATTTCATGCATTTTTAAAATGTTTCTATTAGCAGACTAGCATTATCTAACGTCGTTTCCCGTCTCTAAAAAGGGTAATTCGTACAAATACAGTGTGTTTGGAAATTATTTTATAGGCCATTTCACGGAAAAGTATATAAAAAATGATAAAAAATACGTATTTTTCATACCGGTAGCACAGATGCTTATCCATTATTCATATTTTTTACTGCCGAGGCGAACTACCCTAGCGACTACTCTGAGTATGGAATTGGAGTTTGAGTGTGAAACGCAGTTTGCTGTTATAGAGTAGTTCGGAAGCAACTTAGTTATTTTCTTAGCGGCCGGTATGTCATTCATCAGTGAGTCTGTGACTGGTAATTCAAGCTTTTACCGTTGTGTATCACGTCAATGCCTGCAACAGTTTTTACGTCTTTGGTTCTTAGGGGCGGCTCGCGAACTGTCTTATATAGATAACTAAAAGTTTCACCGTTGTCGTATGAAATTATCGGGATATAGTTCGGCTGTTCGGCATCCTCTGAGTTTTGCTACGATCAACAATTCAACTTGTCGTTGTATTGTTGCTCGAAGGGGTATTGATGTTTTACAATTCCGTTCTGATACCGTTTTGATTCTTTTAGTTTTTGTTCGATTTTGGCAATCGTGGTTTTTAATTTTTAATTAATAATGGAAGTTTTCAGAACGTTAATATAGCAACTCTTGGGGTGTCGTCAAGCCAATCAAATAGAAATGACATATTTGTGCTCCATTTTACGCATTGTAACTGGATATTATTATATGTAAGTAGATTTTTTAATATGAAATTGTCTTTTTTCATGAAATAATTTAATGAATATTCATTTACATTTTCTCTTTATAATATTAGTATGAATATTAAATTTATACTAATATTTTATAGAGTAAATTTTTCTTTGTTGAGTAAAAAATCTTTCACCTACATTAATAAATATTTAAATCAAACATAAATTACGTCGACGAAGTCGCGGGAAATCAGAAAGTTACATACAATCGATCTATCTCTATGTTCTGTGCAATCGATGCATCTTTATCAACGCCGTAGGAGTTTATAGATTGTTTGAAAAAATCAACTGGACGAGATGTAACAAGAGATTTCCCTACAAGAACGAGTGAGTAAGGAGGCGCAAGGTTTGGTTCGTATGACGGGAACTTAAAGTTGCGTATTACGATTTCGTATGACGGGAGCTCATGCAACATGGACTGTCCGCTGTGCATTATTATATCGCACGTGGTCATGTTAAGCAGCGAAGTCGAGCGATGGATCAAAGCTAAAACGTGTGGGCTTTTCAATCAATTAGTGTCATATTTCCAATCGTTTAAGAACTCTTCACATTATCACCATCATCAGCCTATTAACCTCCTTACTGCATAGGACTGCAGATGCAGCCGGGACCAGCAGCTTGATTCTGGCCATAGAATATGACATTTTAGCGATGTTATGTTGACATTTCGTTTAATTTTACTACTTTAACATCTACTTTAATAACGACGATAAAATGATGAAGAATTATGATTGTAAGATGTCGTATCCCATAGATTATTGACTAGAGAGTTAGGTGGTCGCTCTGGGTGGTCTTCAGATACAAAAATGGCAGATCGAACGCGCTAAACATTGTGCTATTGAGCTCTTCATGTTTGTTAAGAAACTACGATCAAGTATGCAGGGGTTAGACTATCAAACAGTGAATTTCACTGTTCTAGGATTCAATCATTTCCTGAGTGCTTACGATTTATCAAATAGGAAACATTTTTCGTCGCAGGTAACAATGCGGTTTATGCTGTTGAACATTTCTGGTTTTGGGCGCCTGCCTATTGAGATACGGCAAGACGATTAATATAATTTTCTACTTAGAAAAATATCAGAAAGTTGCCCCTGAAATTCACCATTTTCTATATCGTCTCGTACTTAATTACCTCTTTTATAGGAAAAAATTGTAAATATGAGAGCTGCTTTTTAAATACCATAATAGTTGTGTAACAACTTTCTACGTCAAGCGTAGTTAACTTTGATGTGTTCCTGATTTTAATTTATTGAGCTGATTGTTGATTAGTCTGCGAAGGAAGTGAGCATGGAGCAATACAGCTGCTCACTATGCGATGTGTAATGTTAAATTAATGTAAATGATTTAGGAAGCCATTACATATGCCACGCGATCCAGTAACTGTGTTATAAGAGCACTAAGCATTTGGTTCAGAAGCATTAAAAGTGATAAACTATTAGAGTTTGTAGAGGATAAGTAAATTAATGAAAGCAATAGACCATTTAATACATGGTTATATTTATATAGCATAATAGACTTAATTATCTACAAATTCATGATTATAATGTTTGATATCATGCACGGTAGTTATGAAGGGATTCGGCTGGAGTGATTGTTCTGCCTGCACATTTACTTACGTAAAACAAAATACATATGCATAGATATATTACGTAGTAATGAATATTTTAGGGGAGACTGAGGACACTTGATCCTTACGGGAGACTAGATACAATGGATTTGCAGAGCTTCTGTAAACACTATATAATTTTAAACTGGCAAAATTTGTAGTGTATAGGTCGTTTTCCATTTCTAAAGTTAGCATTTCTGTAAAATTTGACAGTTATGCAAATGGCGGATGTTTATGTGTTTCGTGTTGCAGAAAAATATTTTTTATATGATTTTACTTTGATTAAATAATTGGTTAGTAAACTTTTTTGGATATATATCACTTTTAAACTAGTCATTATCTATGTGTTTATACATCTGTTTTATAGAAAAGTGTTAATATTGGTAGATTTTTGTACAATCTTTTTTTATAACCTCAACATACCCAGGGTACATACATACACATGGTACACTTCACAGAACATAGAGAGAGATTAGAAGTATAATGATATTAATTTAGTATGGGAACCGAGTGTCGCCTCTCCGCACACAAATACAGATTAGATGAAATGATCATTTTGTTCACTACATGAAAAACCGCCACGCGATAGGTTCGCGATAACATAAACCAAATCCCAAAAAGATACTAAGCTAAGAAATCACACGATTAAAAACAAACTCTAATTCAACGTGATAATAAATAATTTACTTTAACATGAATGTTGAACTGTCACGTGGCTGTATATGGGGATACCAGAAGGAAAAAAATATTTTAAGATTATGCACATTTAAAAAAATTGGGGTCATCATTTTATGTGCGAACTATTAATATTAGATTTTGCTGTAACCAAGTGAATACTGAAAAATTAAGGCTTTTCCCTACATAATTTATTAAAATATCTTTTAAAAAACGCAGTACAAAAACTAAGAAAACTTAATGATACACTCTATCGTATGTCTGTGGAGTAATATAATTAAGCGAGGGAAAGTGTAAAAAAAACAAAAATTAAGAAAACAACAGAATTTTTGTATTAATTACATTAAGCCTAATTTGTATTTTTTTCTTACTGGTATCATTCCGATTGTGCATATTAGTGATGTGACATCTTAGTTGATAAAATAAGAGCTTTAAATTTTGTTATGAAACAGTTCAATGTAATTCAGTTCGACAATTTTCTACAGTGGTTTGATAGTAATTATTTAAAGCTTTATTCAAATAAAACGAAATACATAAAGTTTGCATTACCTAATGTCATGTTAATATACTTATAAATGTAAATAGTGAAAAAGTTGAGATGGTGGAATCGACAAAGTTCCTTGGTATTTTGGTATATTGATAATTTGTCAAGTAGACTGAGTTCTGCAGCATATGCTGTTAAGAAAATTAGACTCTTAACAAATGTTGAAACGGCAAGATTGGTATATTTTAGTTATTTTCATAGTGTAATGAATGACGTATAATCTATTGTTATGGGGTTCTGCGGCTAGCATTCAAGATATTTTTATTCTACAAAAGAGAGCTGTCCACGCTATATATAATTTACGGTCTAGAGAATCTCTCAGAGAAATATTCGTATCCGTTGTAAAGTTATTAGGGAAACTGAAATATAAGTAATGCAAAATAAGTGAAATCCAGTTTCACCAGTTTCTAACAAGACCTATTAGGCCAACTCTTAGCTTTTCACGAAGTTTCGTTTAATTTATGTATTGTTCATAAAACGGTGATATTCTTCGTAACTTAGATATTTATAGCACATCAGTATTTTTTAATATTTATCTGCGTGTAAATAATTAACTGAATCTTCGTAAAAAAAGTGCCTGGACAGTTCATTATTTCATTTGTTCAGTATCAGTTCATCTATAATTTTCCCTTGTAAACAGTATTTTTTAGTTTTATATAATTATGGCATATATTTATCGATAACGTTGTTATGAAATGATGAAAGAAAAGCTCTAAATAAATTTGTTTTAGTTATCGATTACGATCCATATAATTAACAATACGATTCCGAGCAGCAGCAGCCTATCGGTACATTTCAGACAAATGGAGGCACAGCACTATTTTTTGCAAAAGTGCACAAAATGATTTACATTGCTGTTTAGTAATGGGGTCAGAAACATTGATGTTGGTTTGAGCAATCAATGTATATTTTATTTAACATTGTGTCAAATTATTACGTTTTTTTATATTTTAGCACTAAAATTG